CGTCCGCGACTTCTATAGACTTGATTTCACAGAATTGGAGAACTCTGAAAGGGTAATAATTGCTAGCTTCCCGGACAGGGCGTCCTCGGCCCAGCCTCTTGCTCGAGATATCATGCCGGAGGAGGTGCTTGAGGCAATCAGGAATATGGGACCGTACAAAGCGCCCGGGAAAGACGGTTTCCAACCGATCTTCTATCAGAAGTGCTGGGGCACGGTGGGAGCCGATTTTTCACGGTTTGTTGCCTCTTGTTTCAAGTGCACAGAGATCATCAGAGGCGTGAATGAAACTCTGCTGGTGCTCATCCCCAAGAAGCAGAATCCGACCGTGGCTTCTGAATTTCGCCCGATTAGCCTTTGTAATGTGTCCTATAAGGCGCTTACCAAGGTCTTGGCGAACAGACTGAAGCCGTTGATGTCAGAGTTGGTTCACCCAACGCAGACGAGCATTGTGCCGGGTCGCCACATTCAAGATAACATTATTATTTTGCAGGAAGTTGTTCATTCCATGCACACGAAGACAGGAAAAGTTGCGCATATGGTCCTCAAAGTCGACCTAGCCAAAGCGCACGATCGCCTAAGCTGGAAGTTCGTGGAGGAAACGCTGGTGGCCGCAAGCCTTCCGGAGACATTTGTAAGGGCGGTGATGGCGTGCATCTCAACACCTACTTTTGAAGTTCTCTGGGAGGGAGAATGCACGGAAGCGTTCACACAGACTCGTGGCCTACGACAAGGGTGCCCTCTATCTCCCAACCTCTTCACCCTATGCGTTGAACGTTTAAGCCATCTGATTCAGGAAGCATCAACTAGTGGGAGGTGGAAGCCAATTCAACTAGTACGCGGGGGAACAAGACTTACCCATTTGTTCTTTGCAGATGACCTCGTACTTTTTGCTGAAGCCTCCAGTTAACAAGGGGATGTCATCATGGAGTGCCTCAACGCCTTTTGTGAAGCCTCAGTAGAGCAGGTTAGCAAGGAAAAGTCGAGAATCTATTTTTCCAAGAACTTGCAGAGAAACCAGGGGAAGGCCATTAGCGAGAGTATGGGGATTCCAATAACGCAGGATCTTGGAAGGTATCTGGGAGTTCCTGTCCTCCATGGCTGGGTCACCAAACATACCTACAGGTACGTCATTGAGAGGATTGACCAACGACTTGCAGGGTGGAAAGCTGAAAATCTCTCAATCGCGAGATGGGTAACTCTGGTACAATCGGTGTTGAATGCCATACCGTCTTATGCAATGCAAGCTGCAGTCCTGCCAGCTTACATCTGTGACTACATCGATCAGAAGATAAGGGGCTTCATCTGGGGCTCACAACAGAGACGGAGGCGCATCCATCTCATCGACTGGGAGACGGTATGCAAACCGAAGGACCAGGGCGGGCTAGGAGTTCGTAACGCACGGGACATGAACTCAGCATACTTCGTCAAACTAGCCTGGCATATGCTGAAAAATCCTGATGATTTGTGGGTAAGAGTTGTTAAAGAAAAATATTTAAAAGATGGTCCTAACGGAATCGAACTGCGAAGGCAGTCGGGTGTTTTTGTTTTTTGGCGTGGCATTCGCTGGGTATGGAATGCTATGCTGGAAGGCGTGAGATGGAGCGTTAGGGATGGACTTACCACATCCTTCTGGTTTGACAATTGGCTGGACAGTGGAGTGCTTTTCAGGGACGTGGCGTAGAATGTGGATGGCGACTTCCCTGCTGAAGCTACGGTGGCGAATAAGGTGACCCCGGAGGGCACGTGGGACATGGCGACGTTGGAGAAATATCTACCTAACGATTTTTTGTTGCAGCTTGCAGGGACGCCTCCTCCTAAAATGCACTTGGGGAAGGACACGCTGGTTTGGGGTCTCCAACCGAACGACACCTTCACTTTCAAATCCGCATACTGCTTGATGGCGGACATAGATAACGATAACGGCGACTCCGATTGGAAGACGATCTAGCGGTGGCCAGGGCCGAACAGAGTATGACATTTCCTTTGGATCGCATCCCATAATCGCCTCCTCAAAAACATGGAAAGACGGCGTCAGCACCTCACGACAAGCAACAGATGCCCACGCTGCTCGGACGAAGAGGAATCTATCCACCACATCATGCGAGACTGCAGTCTACCCCGAGGGTTTGGCGGCGTATTCTCCCAGAGGCGACCCAAACGACAACGTCCCACCAAACCTTTATTGAATGGTTTCTCTCATTCCTCAAGAACCCATCTCACGAGGTACGTTTCGGTCTCACTTGTTGGTTCCTCTGGCGTTCGCGCAATGATCTCGTTTTCTCAGCCATTGTGGAAGACCCCAATAAGTTATCACAAAGGATCCTTGCCTGGGAGGTCATCATACAAAACAACATGGCAGCGGATCAAGCTATATCACTGGGGAGGTCGGGGCCCCGTCGAAGCGTGGTTGTTGGGTGGAGACCGGCCCCGACAGGGTGGATCACAGTGAACTCGGATGGTTCGCTCTTGCGAACATCAGGGTCTACCATTGCAGGAGGGGTGCTTAGAGACTGGCAGGGTCGCTTATTGGGGGCTTATGCAATGAACCTGGAAAAATGTACAATCACTCGCGCGGAGCTATTGGGAGTCATACAAGGGCTGGAGATCGCCTGGTCTGCAGGACATAGACGAGTGTCGATCCAAACCGACTCACGTACGGTGGTGGCGCTTTTGACGGACACGGGCGAGGTGAGCATCCACCGTACGTGATTCAAGAAAATGTTCCGACATGCATTATATTTATCTCATAATAATGTTATATGAACAAGGATAATTTCAAACGGTGAGATTTGTACTTTATTATGTGCAAACTTGTTAAGAGTTGTACTAACTATATATATGATATCATTAATTTGTGACGATAGCTAGTCGTCTGGTTGGCGGATTAGAGAGAGGAAAGGAGGGATTCGGAAGAGGATGAAAATATAAACGTGGATATGTCATGAATGCAAAACATAATTAATTAATGGGTATGCAATGCAAGCATCAAGAGAGGCATGGGAAACTAAAGCAGGTTGATGGCAGGGACGGAGCCAGGATTTGAAATCTGAATCGCTAAATGTCGCCCTAAGAATTGCTAAACATCGCCCTAACTAAAATATAAAATTACCTACATGCCCTTAAGCAAAAACTCAAAACAAACAAGCCCTTAAGGCAAATTCAAAAATTCATTCTCCCTCCCCCTCCCCCCAACTCCTCACCTCTGCACTCCCTCCCCCTCAACCGCCGGCGACGCCAGCCCGCCGCCGGCCCGCCGCCCCCTGCCACCGCCGGCGACGCCAGCCCGCCGCCCCCTGCCGCCGCCCCCGTCGCCTCCCGCCGCCAGCCCGCCGCCCCCGTCGCCGCCCGTCGCCTGCCCCGTCGCCTCCCGTCGCCTGCCCCGTCGCCTCCCGTCGCCGCCCCGTCGCCTCCCGTCGCCGCCCCGTCGCCTCCAGCCGCGTGGAGAAGAAGGTAAGAAAAAAAAAAAAAAATTGCACGAACCGCGGTCACCGCGCGGTTGAGCCGACGGTCAACCGCGGTCAACGCGCGGTTGGACCTGCGGTCAACCGCGGTCAACGCGCGGTCCGACCAGCGGCTGACCGCGGTCAAAGGGCGGTTGACCGATGGGTAAACCGCGCTTTGACCGCGGTCAGCCGCTGGTCGGACCGCGCATTGACCGCGGTTGACCGCAGGTCCAACCGCTCGTTGACCGCGGTTGACCGTCGGTCAAACCGCGCGTTGACCGCGGTTCGGCTTTTTTTTTTTAAAATTCTGTTTTTTAAATTCTGTGTTTAATGTTAATAATAATAAAAAAAATTAAAAAAATATACATAATAAAAGAATTTAGTTATATTATTGATAAATACTAATTTAGTTATAATGATAATTAATAATAACGTATTCGATAAATGTTAATTTAGTTATAATTTAGTTATATAAAAAAAAATTAAAATCGTATTCGATAATTGTTATTTAAAGATAACAAATTTAAAGAACATTATAAAAAAATTAAAAATGTGTTTTTATCATTTTAATAATCAAAATTTCAAAGTAATTCGTTTATCTACTTAATTATTAATAATTTTACCTTGATTAAAAAGTAAATAATTATTACATAGAACGTAACATAAATGTTAAAACTATTAGTTTTATAATTTTAATTATGAAAATCTTAAATTAATTACTTTATGTACTCCATTATTAATAATTCAAACTTTTTTTTGAAGATGTCTGGACATGGAATGGGTAAACCGGATATGATTAAGGCGAGAAATAAGGAGAGAATGGAGGGTCGTGCTTGTAGACTTACGGCGACTGGTAGGAAGGAAAATGAAGAAAAAAATCCACCTAAGGTTAGAAGGAAGAAGAAGGCGGATGTAGTGCGTCCTGACGGCCACCCTACTGTGGGGCAGTTGTCTCTTAGTCGAGGCACTACCAGTACTCCTACACCAGATACCGCACCGGTATGGCAGGCTAATTGGAGTGATTCCATTGACGAGGATGATGATGATGACGGTGATGCTGAGGTTGGGAATGCCCCAGATGCTGGTGCTGCTGCTGGTGATGCTGCTGTTGATGATGCTGTTGATGGTGCTGGTGATGCTGAGGCTGGGGATGCCCCACCTCAAGCTGATTTAGGCGTGGGGAAGACGGCACGGGTCGGGGTATCTTCTACTGCCTCCTCCCACTTCCGTGGGCCCGATGGACGCTATGCGTCCAGACCTAGTAGCGAGGATGGCGGAGATGGAAATAGGAAGAGGAAGACCACGAGGAAAGATATGTCGTGGTTTCTTACAGCCGAGTCTCCGATGTGTTCAGGTGGACCAGTGATTCCCGATGTGATCCCTAGCTTTGGAGGTCACATTGGCTTGGTACTGTGGAATTCCCCTGAGCAGGACCGTGGAGTGTTGGACGGCTTCCATAGGCCGAGAGCTGTAGAGACTTTGAGGCGATATAAGTGGAGTGCAGAGGGTTCCAAGGAGATGGTTGAAGCCACAGGATTGTCTCACTTGACGGGGTGCATGATGCAGCATTTAGACATGGCTCTACTGTCGGCATTTGTGGAGAGGTGGCAGCCGGACACAAACACCTTCCACATGCCGTTTGGAGAGATTTCGATCCTTCTACACGATGTGCATCACATTCTTCGGATACCGGTTGACGGAGAGCTGATGGGAGATGAGGCGTCGCAGGATACTCTTAAGTCAGACATGGGTGGTCTAGTTCGACTTTCGGTGGATGCTCAGGTTGGTGGTAAGTGGAAGTCGAAGTGGTACGATAATGGTGCTATGCATGCAGAGGGATTGTTGGTGCGTGGGGGAGAGCTGAAGATTAAGGAGATGGAGGTGCAGTGTTACCTATTTGTGTTGCTGGGATCCACGCTTTTTGTGGATAAGAGTCGTGATCGCCTTCGTCCTGCGATCAACTTGTTTCTGAAGGATCATCGACGATTGGCTGATTACGCTTGGGGAGCTGGTGCACTAGCCTATCTCTACAGACAGTTGGGAGTGGCCACACGAGCGGGTAGTAAGGGTCTTTGTGGTTGTTTGACCCTGCTTCAGGCTTGGATATATGAGTACTTTCCTCTTTTCCGTCCGAGCCAGCTGCCACAGTCTCCGGATGCACCTCGTGCTTCCTCGTGGATTTCTCCCCGTTTGCCAGGTGGGGATGAGGCTAGACAGAGGTTAGTACGTTATCCCTCACCAAGTACCTTCATTCGTATTTTTTTTGTTCGATGCCCTCACCAAATAAAACCCAAAACCCTTTGCAATCTCAATGGCTGCTTCATATGCTTGCAACTCCGTAGTGTATTTCACGCCATCAATGAAATCCGAGGTGTAATCATGGCCATCCGGATTGTAACTTCCAATATCCTGCAATGTTATCAGTATTAAAATTAATAATCATCATAACTTCATATGCGAATCTATTATTTATGCAATAAATTTAATCTTAATTTGTAATGCAAAATCTAATCTTAATTTTCTAGATTAACACCAAATTAAATCTAATCTTAATTTAAGGCCAAATCTAATCTTAATTTCTAATGCTAATTCCTTCAATTCCAAAAATCTAATCAAAACCCAATAAATCTAATAAATTATATTAATCTTAATTTGTAATGCAAAATCTAATCTTAATTTTCTAGATTAACACCAAATTAAATCTAATCTTAATTTAAGGCCAAATCTAATCTTAATTTCTAATGCTAAATCCTTCAATTCCAAAAATCTAATCTTAATTTCTAATGCTAAATCCTTCAATTCCAAAAATAATTATGCAAATAAATCTAATAAATTATATAAATCAAAACCCAACAAATTATTTCATGGAACAATCATAAATCATATAAAAAAAAAATTATTCAACGAAAAAAAAAAAAAAAAACCAAAAAATGCCCAACCGCAAGTGACCTGCGGTTTGACCATGGTCGGACCGCAAATCACCTGCGGTTAAGCCATTGGTGGACCGCAATTGACCTGCGGTTGGACCATGGCTGAACCGCAGGTGATTTGCGGTCCGACCATGGTCCAACCGCAGGTCAATTGCGGTCCACCAATGGCTCAACCGCAGGTGATTTGCGGTCCAGCCATGGTTCAACCGCAGGTCACTTGCGGTTGGACCATGGTCGGACCGCAAATCACCCGCGGTTCCCATTTTCTGTTTTTTTTTTTTTTTTTTTGTTTATGTTCTTACCTCGTCGGAGTCGCTACTCATGATTCAGACGTCCTATCGACGATATCGGCTTCAAAATGACGATGAGAGATTTTTCTCTCCTTAGAGAGTGTTTTTTTAGTCCAAGTGATGTTTGTTTGAGGAAGGGAAGGTAAAGAAGCTATGGGGGTTAAAAGTGTAACTTTTATTCTTTTTAGGGCGACCTTTAGCAATTTTAAGGGCGACCTTTAGCAACTCCCTTTGAAATTAGGGGGGGCCGACAAATTTTTTTTCTTTTTCCCATAATATAATGAATAAGTTGACGAATTTTTTCATAGATTTACACAAACAATTAACGATTTAACAACAGAAAAAAATACATGATTAATAATTCATGGATAAAATTCCATCTTTTATTGCAATCAAATACAATTACGGTCACAAGAACATGCAATGAAATCAAAATTGAAATCAATTTAGCACAACATTCTGTAAATTCATGAAGAAAATATTTCATTAGATTCTTAAAAAACACTGAAAAACAATTACTTATTTAAATATTTTTCTTCTAATAACTGCAGTTTAACTACAAAAAGTTAAGAACAATTACATCATTTAAGGATTAGCTCAAACATTTTCTTGAATCATATTCAAATGTAATTAAGGTTACCATAATGATGATGGAGTTTTCTTGCTATATTTCTTGCATCAAATGTAAATAAGATTACCATAATGATGAAGGGTTTCCTTGCAAAATTAAAAATTAAAGAAAGAATAACATATGGGAGTGAGATGTAAGGAGGAAGTGAAGTTGAAATCAGAAAAGAAAAGGAATAAAATCTGACCCTCTCCCTGACTCAAACCATGCCCAATCCATTTTATAGTGCCACGAGCCAACAACTCAACTAGTTGGGCTAGTTGTCAATTATGAAACTTACTCAGTATTATAAGTGATTTAAAGTCTTAGGGGGGCCATGGCCCCCCTGCCAGCAAGCTGGCTCCGTCCCTGGTTGATGGACTTTTTGTTCAGAGTGTGGTGTAGTGTAGGGGTGCAGAAACTCCTCCTTTCGACTTGCTGGATTGAGATAGCGAATCACTTCACTGGAGTTTGCAGATTGGCTCGGATCGGAGCATAGGTGTGATCGAGTTGGTCTGGCGTGAAAAATGTGATGAGATTTTGACTATATTGTTGTTTTCTATTCTGTTAACATTTGTTTAAATCTGCAATAGTCGATCGAATGTCTAGCGGTGAGTGATGGTGGGTTTGCAAATTGCAATCGAGTCTTGTAAAGCTGGGCTGTGATGGTGATAGAGCTTCTTTTTTCTTTATACTAGGTAGATTTTATGCCGCGCTTTGCTGCGGCTTTTCTTAAAATTAGATGTATTATTTTCTAACCCGTATTAGATTTTAGCACAAAATTCATACAAAAACTACTAACACAATCTACATCGGTAGGTGATTTTAGCTGTATGAAATAATTTAACCATGGTTGAACTATGATTTTAGTACAAAATATCCTAATGCTAGGCTCAGGTTGGAACAATGTGTCTAGCCTGATTTAAACACGGTTGAACTATGATTGTACCGTACTGGCGGACCAATAGAAAAACTCCTAACGGCATCTAAATTGGTAGGTGCTTTTAGCTGTATGAAATTATTTAATCATGGTTGAACTACAATTTTAGCACAAAATGACCTAATGCTAACTTTTTCAGTACGACCTTCGGTATTGTTTTACAATTTTTGATTTATTCTAAAGATGCATCAAGGCTCGGGTTAGAGCAACGTGTCAGCCTGATTTAATCACGATTGAACTATGATTTTAGCACAAAATACCCCAATGTTAACTTTACCGGTACAACCTTCCGTATGGTTTTACAATTGTTGGTTTTTCATGAACATGCATTGAGGCTCGGGTTGGAGCAACGTGTCAAGCCTGATTTAATCACGATTGAACTAAATTTTAGCAGAAAATACCCTAACGTTAACATTACCGGTATGACCATTGGTATGGTTTTACAATTTTTGTTTTTTTTTACATGAATCAAGGCTCGGGTTAGAACAACGTGTCAAACCTGATTTTAACCACGGTTAAACTATGATTTTAGCACAAAATACTCTAAAACTAACTTTTCTTGTGCAAACTGAGGTTATGGTTTTACAATTTTTGGTTTTTCTAACCATAAGTCGAGGCTTAATTTGGAGCAGCGTATCAAGCCTGATTTAACCATTGTTGAACAATGATTTTTTCACCAAACATGCAATACAATAAAATGATTGGTCAACATGAATCATACACATAAACCACTGAAATCTTAATGCAAATGTATATGACACCTATCTTGTGCTTTCTCCGCCACTGCATGAACTGTATCATCAGATGCCTTGGAAAAAGCGTTGAAACCCTCATAATTTTCTTTGTTGCCTCTTACGAATGAGGTTTGGGGAGTGCGATAGTGATCTTCCCCATGAAAATCCAAAACCAGGTTGGAGGAAATTAATAAGTGTGTGTGAAATCATACGGTATCGGCGGTTTGATCGTAAAAATATTTTATCGATAGATGGTTTTTAACGTATGAAATGGTTAAATTACAGTTAAATCACAATTTTTATACACAATACCCTACCACTAACTTTTTTGGTACTATATCTAATATAATTTCGCAAACCTTCAAATTTATGTCATGCAAAAAAAAAAAAAATACCACTAATTAAAGAACCCACGCATAAGTAGACAACATAGAAACCCTTTAACGATGTATATACTATATATGGATGGAGACTTCTTGCGGGTGAGATTGTGAGTATAAGACAGGCGGTTCACATTAGCAAAACCCCTATGGAACAGTAACATACTTGTATCTTTCATAATATTCATGGATATTTTGTCTATTTCATGTGGTTAGTTAACTTGTTTATGTATGGTATTGGTTGTATACATTTTGGTGGAAGTGGAACAACCTAATTTTGGGAGAGACAGAGGAAGTGTTTCCATTCTTTAAGGAAGCCATAAAGCTAGCAATAGCTACCTTGGTGGAACACCATAACTTGGAATTGTGTCTTTTTTCCACTGTACAAGCCACATAACTATATGCATTAATTAGTTTCGTGGGTGTGGACGGTGTGGTAGCTAGGGATTGGTTTTAATGTAACTAGGTGGCAATCCCGCTCCTTGTCGCGGGCGGAAATGGCCTATAAGCATGTATTATGTGGTCCGTTATAGTGTATAGTTAGTATTATTAGTCTAAAATTAATTTTTTGTTTTCAGTTTTGTTAGTAATATTGACTTGACAATAAAATATTAACTAAGAAGATATATAGAGCGGTCAACATCCAATTAAATTTTTTTTTTTTTGAATTTTTTACTAATAAGTTATATTTACCTAAACACAATTAGACTCATTGATTATGGGTAGGGTATGGGTGACGTATATATGGGTTTGGAAGTTTGTTGATGGGTTTGGGTAGGGTATGGATATTTGCTTCCATAATCTAATTAAATGTGTATGAGTTGGGCATGAATACCCATTTATTCGAGTGTGTTTAAATTATACATATAAAAATTAGACCTGTTTGTAGAACTTCAAAGTTTTAGGTACCAAAATGTAATACACAAATATTTTAGGTACTAATTGTGATGTTCCATCAATTGAGGACTTATATGCCAACAAATAAATTTAGCTTAGAAATCTAAAGATCTATTAAGTTTACATACCGAACTATAATTTGCATAGTTGAGGCTTAATTCTTTTTATGGTGATGTATTTAAGATGATAATTATTTACATTTTTATAGAAAAATAAAAAATATTTATTTGATATGTGTAGATATCTAACCAAACTTTCCATGTATAATTGTTGAAAATTCTATCCCGTGTGAAAAGGAAAAACTCTAGAGAGAAGCAAAAGGAATACAAACATGAACTCGCTTAAAATTTCACGCATTCAAATCCCACCGTGGAAACATTTTCTACTAAGTAATAACCATACATATTTATTTTTAATTGGACTCGACATTGAGTTGAAAAAGTTAGTGGTTCATGGTTCAATTATTAATTCTCTAGACTGTTGGCGAGTCGTGTATGGACCTGTTCATACTTCTAATTAGAATACATAAAAATAATGTGATACAACATCTTGTATGGTACAAACTAAATTTATACTTTTATGTTATGGTGTATTGGATTCATGGATTGGTTCAAAAGAATTGGTGGATTGCATTCATGGATTCAAGTGAAATCTAACATTGGATCAATATGTAAATTTAAAAAATTGTAGGTACAAAAATCTCATAGAATTTATATACCAAAACATAATTATTCAATAATTTTACATCAAAATTAAATTTGGGGTATCAAAATGTAAAATGTTACATAATGACTAATATGCAATTTTTTATGCAACAGTAATTGTACTTTCACCTTTATATATATAGTAATGTATTTTTGGGTTGGTGAAGAAGAGCCCAAAATTTGGAATTGTACAGGATTATGCTTTCTCTTTTGTGAAGGCTGCTTCACCCTAGCTAGCTAAGCTTTATTACTACATTTGGGGTACCCTCTTTTACACAATTGACAGTCTGGAGGGGAAAAAGCAATGCTGTCAAAGCCGAGCCGGAGTATGAGCCGGTAACGTGAACGGCTCGGTCATTAGTGGTCCAGCCGGCATTAGACCGTTTAAAAACCGTTTGAGAACCGGTACCTAATAAACATTCATCTGTAATAGTAGACACTTCTTAATCATGGTAAACCACAAGTAAATTAGTCTCTTAAACCATTCTAGAACATCAGTACTGAAAGATCTAAAATTCAATTCCAAACCTGCTGCTAATTGCATAACTGCACTAGGAATCAGCCATTAATTCAAGCCCAAATAAAAACCAACCAAAGACCATCACTAAGCAACTTCATCATCATAAACCTAGAATTTTAACATCGAAATTCTAAGTTGAGCAACAACCGACCTCTAGCCGGCAAGAAGACGAGGCCGGATCCGGCGGGAGGCCAGTGGAAGCGGAGAGGGAAGCGACAGAGTCGCCGGAGCGAAGAGGGAAGGTGGAGAAGGAGAAGACGCCGTAGCTGCGGGAGACGGCGGGATCGCCGCAGGAGCAGTTGAGAGTGACGTTGATGGCGACGAGGAGGAAAGAACGACGAGGAGGAACGGCGCTGAGGAAAGGCGACGTCGCGACGAGGAGGAAAGGCGACGTCGCGACGAGGAGGAGCGGCGCTGAGGAAAGGCGACGTCGCGGCGAGGAGGAGCGGCGCAGCTTCTTCTCCACGAAGAAGATAGAAGAAGTGAAGAACGAAAATTAAATTAGGGTTCTGCTTTCACAGAACAGCCCGACCCCGATCCCCTTTGCCTTTAGTTTTCAATTTTTTAATTTTTTTTTTTTTAATGAAATCAACCGGTCGAAGTAAAAAACCGGACGACCGGTTCGAGCGGTTCGAGCGGTTAACCGCTTCGGCCGCTCGCCGGCCGCCCCAATGAACCAGTCCGGCTAAATGCCTCATCCGAGCCGGTTTTGTGCCCGGTCGGCGGTTTTGGCGGCTCGGCCGGCCGGCTCGGCTCGGTTTTCACAGCACTGGGAAAAAGGGTTGGCGTGGTGGTGTATATTTCTGTTTCATATCATGTGTTATATTGTACTGTGGTTGATAGCTCACCAATCATTCAACCACCGTAAAATTGTATCGAAAGTTGTACTGGAAAAATGAGTGGTAGAGTATTTTATGTTAAAATCGAAGTTCAAATGATTCATATTGCTGAATACCGCCTATCCATTTAGCCTCCAGTGAGAGGTTTTTTTGGTCGAACTGGCGGTACGATACAATTTTTCAATCCTTGTTGCCAATATATTATAATTAATATTGACTCGATGGACTAGCAAATTGTTCAAGCTCATAATTAATGCTTTTTTTTTTATTTTTTACGAAGAGATGCATTTCATTCATTAAACGATTGTGGTACAAGTAGTAGCAGTTACAATAAAGGTGCCATAATGTCAAGAATATGAAGCCTATCAAAAGGAAGGGATCCTTTCATTGCTTCTTTTGCAATCCAATCTGCACACTTGGTGTTTCTTCTTGGGATGAAGGCCACTTGAATATGGTGGTTAGATGTGAGGATTTGTCGCATATAGTAGTGAATCCATATATACCATGGCCATGAAGAGCTTTCACCAAGAACAACATTGACCAAAACTTGGAAGTCGGTGAACACCGTTGCTTGTGATCTAAGAGCTTTTGTGATTGTGGGGTGGGGTTGGGGTAAAGTACCCTTGAACACCCTTTCATTACGAGCATTCCAGATTGCCCAAAGACAAGCCACAATCCCTCTGATGTCGATAGGAGCAATCAGTGAGGGGTAGCAAGATTGCCAGACAAGGCAAGGCGAGCATGAGGGCATTCAAAGAAGCAATGCTTTATTAACACTTAAAGTAGCTACTGAATTAGAGCGCAGTCATGATTTCTCATTAGTACAGAGTACACCAGAAGAAGTCTTGTATCTCATTTCAGTACACCAAGAGTCGATAGATTACGACGATTTGAGGGAAACATTGTTGCGGCTTTAATTACTCACGCAACAATAAATACACAAATTTCTAACGCATTCATATCGTGAGAAAAGATGTGACGTGGACTACAAAATGATCAGAATTCAGTGTGAGTTTTGGAAATGTGAATATAAGAACTAGAATTAATACCTAGCTTAAATTCATCACTAGAACTCCAAAATATAGTGATAATTTCTTATGTACTTATGTGCTATAATTTAGGGAAACATATAAGAGACAAACTAAACATCACTTTAATACACACAACCCTAACTGGTTTGCTTACTAATAGTCGATGGATTAGTGAGAGGCAAAGATTTAGCAGTGCAAATTGTCATTTGATTTGATTAGTTTTTAAAATATCTGATGTGGGGATCGAAACTGTCTCAACCATGAGTATATTGACGATAAGTAGTGGTTTATACAAATCAATAGATACACAATTGACGTGATCTTTTAAACTGGATCTTCATCTACTTTGTGTGACAATTTAGTTATGTCTTAACTTCAATGTGGTTAGCACGTCTTAATATAATTCACGATTATCAGATCGCACGTTTTGCATTTTATTATTGTTGAATTTTCTAAGTGATAATTCTACACATAGAAATGTTTATTATTGTTCCGTGATCGTTGAATGCATGATCTAATGATTATTAAAGCATTAAGATGTACTTACTTTCACAACATACGTATTTATAGTTTTATTGTTTCTTTCCTTAGATACATTGCTTCGATTGATTGCATGAAACTCGATAAGATGCATGGTAAGCAAAACTAAGTGGATAAGCGTGGTCTTAACGTTACTGATCATCATACATTGCAGTTCCTTTATTTTCTCCTTTTAGATTTATTACTATTTTGGTGAATAGAAATAATATTTCCATTAGTTAGCAGCACTCTGCTTTTGATGTTGAAACTTGAAAGTGAGGAAAAAGAAAGCAAAGAGAATCCCATTGCTTATGAGTTATGACTGTCTGGGATTCGTGTGGGGGCTTAAGTTGGTTTCTTGCTTTAAACACCCCTTTTCACAAAGCCAAACATGAAGGGAAAAATAATAGGGACTGCAAAATTATTATCACCATGTGTGACTCAAAAGGTGAAAATCATGGTTTTTGTTGTAATATTCGTTCTAAAATTTTATTATCGTTTTAAGGCAGAGTGATCGCGTGTAATTTAGAAGAGGTTACAATCGTATTCGATATTTAATATGTGACTATAATGTGTGTATTTATACGTCGGGAAACTATTGAAAAGTTGATGGATGATTAACTCTCAGTGATGATAATGATGATTAAGATTTGCTTTTTTTTTATATATATATAGGGGTGATATAGATTTCATTTTGTTGTCATTAAGGTACTACTTAAGGGATTCGAACCTGGGTTCTCCAGGTTCTAGGTTAGTGGTATTACCACTAGGCCAAGCCCTTGTTCGTAAAATTTGCTTTAGTTTTGATAAAAGATAATAAGAAAGGTGACATGTGAGTCAGTGACCATGAGCTTTGTTACAAGTCCTGGTTTGTGATATTTTCATAGCTAGTTTGGGATTGCTATGAGTTTTGCCATTTTCCCACGCTACAGGAGGAAGGATTACGAGTTTGTATACATATGCATCGTAATTGTGGTCGAGAACCGTAACTCTCGATATCGCTATAGTCAATCAACCATCTTAAAAACGTTTGCTCTCCGCAAACTAGCCTTGTCATAACCACAACACCTGGATAGTATTGAACATTTTTTTTTCTTCCTCTTTCTTTTGTTTTTGTTCGGTTTGGGTGCCAAATTACATCAGTCATTTTCAAAATTCCTTCCAAGTTACGGCTCGCTCAACTAACTTCTCCAACAGCACCGAATTCGTCTTCTTTGAAGTTCTTGATTTCTGGTTTGCTTCTTCCGGTCGGTCCCTCCCTCCCCCAACGCCATTGCAGCAGCCGGCAAGCTTTCGCAAACTCGGCCCCCTTTTCCAGCGGATGGACGCTCGATCTGTCCGATCTCTTATAGGCGTTTAACTTCGATTGGAGCTCCTCCTCCTCCATCCCTCCCCCAATGGCTGCCTGGCTTAAGGCCGCGGAAGGTGCGGATCTCTCTTCCCCTCCCTCTCACTCTCCTTCTCTCCCTTCTTCTGCCTCTCGCGGGTGTTTTGAGGCCTGATCCAATAATTGTGAGTTGTAACGTTCCGGAGATTGCGATTCTTCTGCATCTGTGGCGTTCGTGTCCGATAATTTGAAAGATGGATGAGAATTCTAGTAGTTTGGTAATGGCGATTAGGAGTTGAGAGTAAACTGTTAAATAATTCCCTCCCCGTGTCTGCGTTCCCCTCTTGACCATCTGGCGATGCACCTCAGCTGGTAATGAGCTTCGCTGCATTGGTTAGTTGATCATTGGAATGGGCTCACTGGCCCGTGACAGTGCGTGCTTCAAGTTTTTCTTAGAGCGGTTACTTCACTGAAATACAATGTCAAGAAATCCTGGTTGTAGGTTAAGGATTCCTCAAACAGCTAATACTTGAACAGTTGTTTGACGCCTCTGGTTTGATATGAAGTTGAAGGGTGATGATATTTGGAGGTCAGTGAAAGAGCTTGTCTGTGGCTAAATGTCACTGAACCAGCTCTCACGACGTGAGGAGTACTGAACTATGGTTCAGTAGGAGTTAGAAGTGTCATGGTTTTTCGATTTTACCATCAAATCATTGCTGGGAGCTTGCATTGGAATCCCTTGATTGTGCAGTCGAGTCGAAGACCCTTGTGAAATAGCATCCTAACACTGTTCTCCTGGCTGCTTACGATTAGTTAAACGACATTGGGAGAGCCTCATCTTTCTAATGCCCACATTAATCACATTTCATGGCTCCAATTTTTATTTGTCTACGTTGCTGTTAAGTCTGTCTGGATATGTGTTTGGGAACATGCTTCCAAGTGTCCAAGGGAGGCACCGTCTCATTATCCTAACTTGTTATCAAGATAGAAATTAGCCATAGCGATGAAAAGAAAGTTCGGCTTCGAATCATCAAGTCCGATATGATTGTTGATTTCCTATTTTGTTACAGGTCTGTTTGAAGTTGTAGATCGACAAGCAAAGCTAGTTGTTAATGAATTAGCAGAGGAGAATTCTGATTCTCAGCCATCTGGTAACAATTTTAACCACACCATTAATCTAGTATTTTTTTGTCTCATGTCTCACATATGTCCAGAACTCATACTTAAGCAGTTGATACCTTTCCTCAGAAATTAAACACAAATGCTTATTTGTTTAGCTAAGCCTCACTCATAAGGGACAATGAGACTAAGGACCATGTCATATTATATTTTGCTTTGAGTTCTATGAACTCAGACTTGAAACATAGCTTCGTTCAGGTCAGTGTTAGGTCAGTTTGAGATCCAACAGATCAAGCAATTCTCAATACCAATTATGTTTCAGCCGCTACTAATAATTACAAAAAGTTATCTAAGGCTTAAAACCTTCATAAATGTGTCATTAAGTCGCTTATCTGTCTTGTACAATTATCCTCTTTTAACTTTTTAATTGTAAGTTATGTCAGAAGTCAAGCATGAATGCTGAAAGATGATTCTGGTTGGTTGGTATACTTTAGGTTTTCAGGAAGGGGTGGGGTTTTGGTGTATAGATGGATAACCTCCCTTTTAATTTCCCATGTGCCTGGATAAATGGCTAATCGATATGTATATTTTTGGCCTTTCTTAAAACTCTTAAGCATCTAATGGACAAGGATCTCAACAGAAAAAGCCAAAACCAAAATCAAAATCAAAATCAAAGGTATGTCTTAAGATACTTCTGATGTGGGTCTTCGTACATTAGCTGTATGTTTGGTTATCATTATTATATCAACGTTTGTCTCCCTTTTCTGTCTCAAAAGAGGCGGCCAAAGGATGGATCCACTAAGCCAAGTGAACATGCACAAGAGGTAACTAATACACAAACATCAGAGGCAGATGTGATAGATCATGCTGCTCCTTCAGTTGAAAATGACGAGAAAGCTTCCAACAGTGCCATATCTCAAACAAGCAACGAACAGCAAGAAACTGTTCACAGTGCTTCAAGTGTATCACTACCGACGACTACAAATGAGCCAGTCGAGCGTGAAGCTGACAGTGTTGAAGTTCCTGTAACTATTACAGACCCTGTCATACCACCATCAGATGGTGAGACCTTTAATGATAAGGCTATAGATGTCTCTGTAGAGAGTACTTCTTCACCGTCACCTGCCAAAAAAATCGAAGTTGTCAAAGAGCATGATCCAGTTGTTGCTGTTCCTGATACCAGTACAAGGGAAAATGAGGTTTCTTCAAAGATTGAGCTAGAAAAATCAAGCAAAGACTCTCTTGTTAGTAGTGAAAAATCAGCAAAAGTTGAGGAGCTCAAGGTAGAATCTCCTATGCATCAACTGAAGGTAGTTGAGCATGAAGGCGCTGCTTCGCCCAGGAAAATTCAGGAGCAACTTGAGGAGGTAAACAATTAGCTACCGGGAAATAAATTTGAACAGAGGTTACGGCACCAACTTTCGTTGTCTATGATACTCATTAGTTACTTTAGTTGGTGTGCAGGCTCAAGGACTACTCAAGACTGCAAATTCCACTGGTCAATCAAAAGAGGCCAGACTAGCACGGGTAAGCTCCAGAATAAACGTTAAATTCATTACCACCTTCAAGCTGGACATTTCAAGATTCATCAGTTACATGCACAGGTGTCTAAATTTTAGCATCTGGGCCCATTAGTTTTAGTCCTATTTGTCTTCAGTCATAAATAACGTTACCTAATTAATTATCCAGACAACTTGATGTTGAGCTGTTGAGGGATCAAAATTTTCAGAGGAAACCTGTACAGAAGATCCGATTTCCTTGAATACTTCCAACTTGATGTGCTTCTGAGTATAAGGATAACCCGAACTGGGTTCCTTATGCTGACTGGCCAGTCATATGTTCCGTTAAAGCTGAGTGAGGCTTCCTTTATGACCTGTTGTTAATCATATGCCATTCATACTTAGGTTTGTGCTGGTCTTTCAAACCGCCTTCAAGAGTACAAGTCTGAAAATGCACAACTCGAGGAGCTTCTGATTGCAGAGGTGAAATGTTACACCTACTTCATTGTCCTCATGGATGTACTGGTCATGAAAGTGTAGTTTCATGATAGTGCTTTGGAAGACATCTGTTTACCGATATTCTTCTTTAACAGAGAGAACTAAGCAAATCATGTGAGGCTCGTATGAAGCAGCTGCAGCAAGACTTGTCTGTCTCAAAAATGGAATTAACAAGAGTAGAGTCAAACATGGTCGATGCTTTGGCAGCAAAGAATGCTGAAATTGAGGCCCTTCGTGGTTCTATGGATGCACATAAGAAACAAGCTGCATTGTCAGAAGGAAACTTGACTACTTTACAGGTTTGCTACATTCATATGTTCGGAGTTTAGACATTGGCAACAGATTCTGTAAAATGATCATATATGCACATTGGCAGTCACCTGAAACTATCAATTCTCCGTATCCTTCCCCTATGGCATTCCTATAACCAAGGCTTTTATGGTTGTCTGAATAATGGAGATGGTGATTTGTGGGTCAATTTCCTTTTTCGACATAATTCCTGCGTAGTGCTTTCACAACAAGATGCATGTGACTGCTTCTCCTGTATAGTTTCTTTTCTTTCATATATATATCACAGGTCTTGCAGAATACCTTAGCTGATTTTAACCCTTGTATTACCTCTCAGGCAAATATGGAGTCTCTTATGCGAAATAGGGAACTGACGGAGACAAGGATGATGCAGGTTAGCTGGTGCATATAACACTAGCCATATTTGTTTCATCGAATATATGTATACCTTTTCCAACTTTACCCGTTAATAAAGTCAGAACGTATACTGAAAAATATTGTCATTATAGTGTTTATTAAAAAAAAAAAATTCATATTGTCCATTCCTTTTTTACCACGGAAAAGCTGTCTCTTCCATTATATGTTGTTTCCTACCAAACTCTATTCCTTCTTTTGCTAAAACTTAAATTTTAGATAAGACAGAACAAACACCGCCAACACCTGTCCTATTGTTCGTAGCATAGACATGTATGTTGTTTCTGATAATGAAAAATGGAGCTTATTAAATGAGCGTCTACCAGGCTTTGCGAGAAGAGCTAGCCTCTGCAGAACGGAGAGCAGAAGAAGAGCGGGTTGCACACAACACTACTAAAAAGGTCTGGCTCTTATGGGGGTGTCAACTTTAAGACCCAATGGAAATGGAATTTGAAATTGTTGCCATTTGATAATTGTCTTATTCTTGATATAGGCAGCTATGGAAAGGGAAGTGGATCTAGAAAACAGAGCTGTGGAGGCTTCCACAGCCCTGGCTAGGACCCAGGTAGTACCCCAGAGGTCATTTGTGCATGCATAAGGCTGTCCGAGTTTTGTTTGGAACGGCTGTCTCTAACAATAGCTTATGTTAAATAATTTAAGTCTCCTCTGTAATAGTTTCAAATTCTTTTTTCTTCCAGAGACTTGCAGATGAAAGGACTGCAAAGGCTGCAGAACTTGAACAGAAAGTAGCACTGCTTGAGGTATTTGAAGACCTTACGTTCATTTTTCTGCTGCCTGATCATGGAGTGCTGACTCATTACTCATTACTGCTTCCCGATCAGGTTGAATGTTCAACACTAAATCAAGAGTTGCAAGATATGGAGGCCCGTGTTCGACGAGGCCAAAAGAAGGCCCCTGAAGAGTTAAACCAGTCAATTCAGGTACCTTAGAACTATCGCTCAGCAACCTATTATTTTAGCTTTACCAACAGCTTTTAGTGCAAAAAATATGGTGTGCCGTAAAGAAACAACTTTTTTGGATGAATCATGTTGACATATTCTGTACTTGTAGCAGGAATCTTGCATTACTGTGATTGTTATAGTTCTTTTCAATATATGATGGTCTTCATTCTTGCAATATATCCTAAAGGTTCCTTCTTGATCTCCAAAAATATAGATGATTTTTTAAGTTTGCTAGGGTTTGTCCACTTCTTTTTTATTCATGGTGCACTGAACTCTGCTATAACTGGAACCTGAACCCCAATACCATCGTTCAAATGTTAAGATGCAGGCCTGGCAGGAAGAAGTAGAACGTGCACGCCAGGGTCAAAGAGAAGCCGAAAACAAGCTTTCTTCTGTTGAGGTAAGGGTTATTGAAGTGTGAAACTGGATCATTTCCTTTCATTTCTAATTTTATTTAAGATTTACATGCAGCCTAAGTTAAGCATTTGTATCTAGACATAAACTCTTTTCCCAATTACAGGCTGAATTGCAGAAACTGAGAGTTGAAATGGCAGGCATGAAACGGGATGCTGAACACTATTCACGCCAGGTATTCTGATATTTGCAAGTAAAAATCATCCTGCTCTCTAATTTCAAGCTCCTTTTCATATTATGTGCATCTCCAGTCTGCAAGGAGTAAGTGAAAAATGCCTGTTTGAACAAATAAGTTTTCCTTAATATTTTCAGTGCATATCCCTGTTAAATGCAACCTTCACATTCTGTTGCATCCGCAGGAATCTGAGGAATCACGCTTGCTGTTATCTTGTGCTCATTTAAGACAATATAACCTGTTTAAGTGGCTTTTTTTTAACATTTTATTTCCTAAATTATTGATTCACTGGTTGAGCTGCTTAAAACAGGAGCATATGGAGCTTGAGAAACGCTATCGGGAACTAACTGATTTGCTGGTAATAAAAAAAGCTGTAATTCATGTCTATTAACCATGATGAAGCACAAAAGAAATAAATTTGGGAATGCTATCTTGATGCAGTATTACAAGCAAACACAATTAGAAACCATGGCTAGTGAAAAGGCAGCTGCAGAGTTTCACTTAGAGAAGGAATTGAAGCGTCTTCAAGATGTACAGGTCTGTTCTTATGGAATCTAACTCATTTACCCAAGTCATGTTCACTTGCATTGCATCTAAATTTGGTAGTTGGTTTGTCCAAATGAAAATTGTACTGGCTGCCATGCAGGTTGAGGCTGAAAGAAGTAGAGTTGCCCGTCGCCCATCTCCATCTTGGGAAGATGATACCGAAATGAAAGCTCTAGAGTAGGTCCTTCCTTTTCTGACTAATCAAACAAAGTGTTTTACTTGCTCTTGGATTAGAACAATCCTGTCTGGGCCTAAACTATAACAACCTAGTACTATCTCGACAGTTATGCGTGAACTTATCAAGGGTGCTCTTAAATTTGTTTAATATCCTTTGTTATGCTAATCCAAATGTTTCACCAATCTCGCTGCTCTGTATTCCCACTACAACCAATGAGGTCTTCGATTGGGACCCCTGTACTTGGGTTGTCTATTTCTTCCAATTCAGAATTTTCAAGCAAGTTATTTTTAGGATACTTGGAAGTTTTCTTATGACTTGAAAAATTACAGGCCTCTCCCAGTGTACCACCGTCATTTGGTGGGCGCAAGTGTACAGGTATACAACTCCTCCATTTTCTTTTCTCAGTAGCATCCCAATTTGCGCCTTTTGGATGGTCTTAAAACTCTGGAGTTGTAAACCTGCATATCTTGCAGTTGCAGAAGGCAGCCAAGATATTAGATTCAGGAGCTGCCAGAGCAACGCGCTTCTTGTGGCGGTACCCAACAGCTCGGCTTATCTTTTTATTCTATCTGGTAAGTATATGTGGCGTTGCAATTATTCTGTTTCCAGAACAACAATTCTCAAGGTTGGAAAAATAACGCAATGATGATAATGCACCTTGTGCTGTAGGTGTTCGTACATTTCTTCATGATGTATTTATTGCATCGACTTCAGGTATGAATCTTGTACTTCTGAATTCCTCTTTGCGTTCCTCGATCACTGCACGCCACCATTTGTTAATTGTCTCTCACAATCCGGCAGGCGCAAGCTGACGATCTTTCGGCTAGAGAAGTTGCGGAGTCGATGGGCCTTGCAGACCCCAACCTGCAGTTACATGCCCGACGTTGAGCGCCACCAAACGCTATGGGCATGTCATGGTATTTTGCCTCTGTATATCGTCCCAGAGAATTTTATTAGAATGATGGAGAAGTAATGAACCACATCGGATGAGTGATGAGAATACAAAAATCCGTTGCCATTTTCGCATTGCAGCAATCTGGAACTTAGCTTTAGCCATTAATGGGTGCCGTTCGTTGGGTAATGGTCGACTTCTCCTTTCTTGAGCCCTCTTCCTCTTTTTCTCCTTGTTTGCAGAGGTGCTACAGACTTTTTGTGTACATGATGCAGCTAGAAATACAGATGTAATTGGACATAAGATATGCTAATGAAAGAAATATGGCAGCCAAACCCATTTTAATCGGGTTAATGCCACATTTAGGGTTAATGCCACATTTAATCACTGGATTATTAAATGTGTCATGTTTAGTTACAAGAAAAAATTAATATCAAATTTGGTCACTCAAATTACTTAAACAGTTCACGTTTAGTCATTCCTCGTTAGTTTTCGTCCAACTTCGTTAATGAAGTCCGTTATGTGCTGACGTGGCTAACGAGAGCACCTAATCAGAATCGTTTTGGGCTAGAAATGATAAAACTCAACCCGCCATGTCACTAAACCTGTCACATCATACACCCAATCCATTAACCGACCAGAACCAAACCTGAGCCTGTCACCACCACTAACATAGCTACCCGCCGTGCCGTCCCACCACCACCGCAACCACCGTCGTCCGGCGACCACATCGGCGGGTACAACCACCCGCCCCCGAAATCGCTCAGACTCAACAGCTTAATAATCTCGCTCAACCACTCCTCCTCTTCCTCCATCGACGACCTAAACCCACTTCTCCATTTCCCCGACCCCGAGCCCTTACCTCGACTGTCTCCTCTCCGCCATCAGAATCCTTGTCACTTTCACTCCTCTAGCTTCCTCTCTCTTCTCCTTCAAACTCTTCTTCTCCTCCCTGTCTCTCCTCCTCTCCTCATCCAAGATCCCGATCCCGTCTACATCTTCTCTCTCATTCGACCGTCCTGCTTCCCCCTACGACTCGCTCTCCCAAACCCTCAACTCGTCCGTTATTTCCAAAATTGACTTGAATGGATGCAGACGCAGTTACACGAGGGCTTCACATCTTGTCGCGTCGATGCGCTATCTGATTCATGACTATGCTTGGGACTCGATTGTCTCAAGCTCGATTGATGGACGCCATTGGATTGTGGGTTCTCTCCTATTATGTCAAATTTGGTTGTTCTGTTTTCCCCTATTGTAAAGTCTTTGTGTGGACTGTCGGAGTTTTGGGGTGTGGATGGGGTTGATGAGTGCTTGAGAAATGGGAAGGAGTTCACTTGCAGGTATCGTGGATTGTTAATTGTTTGGGGGTGTGAATGTGAATGTACATGGGCGCTGGGCCGTGCTTGGGCCGGCACGGCACGGGCACGCTTTGGGCCCATTTATTTCGTGCCGTGCTTGGCACGGCCCGTCAGTTTTCGTGCCGTGCCATGCAAGCCTATTTGTCAACTTTGCTAGGCTCGGCCCAGGCCCGGGCACGGTTCGAATCGTGCCGTGCCTATTCGTGCTCGTGTCATGTTCGTATTCGTGTTTAATGAAAAGAACGAAAACAAAAGAGAGAATGAAAAAGATGGTGAAAATTGGACGGGGGAAGATAGTATTAACCGATAATGTTTGAGAAAAGTAACAAATGAGGGGGAAAAAGAAAATTGGAAATATTTCGAGTGTGATTTGTCTTTGTTTAATTCTTTGTCCATTTTTACTTATGTTAGTTATTACGTATATATCTTTATGACACTTCTAACAACAACAATTATTATTTTTCTGCTTGTGTTTTGTAATATTTGAACCTATAATTATTTTTATATTTATTTTCTATCAAATAAATATTATTTTCGTGCTATGTCTGTTCTTATACTCAATAAAGTCTCGAAAATATTAGGCCCGACACGGCCCACTTATATACCGTGCCGTGCCCGTGCTCGTGCCCGTGCCCATGAAATTTAGGCCCGGCACGGCCCATAAATTATTCGTGCTCGTGCCGAGCTGGCCCATTTATTTCGTGCCCGTGCTCGTGCCGTGCTCTAACCGTGCCGTGTCGTGCTAGCCCGTGGGCGGCACGGCCCGTTGCCCACCTACAGGTGTGAATGATGCGTTTGTGAGCAGAGATATTCATTTCAGCTGGGTTGATGTGAAGAGTCTGTTGGGTATTTGGGAAGTTAGTGGTGGTTGCGATGAATTTCTGGTTAGATCTGGAGTTTTTGAGAGTGGGATTATGGATTTAGGATGGGGTTTTTGTTTTGTTTTTTTTTTTTTTTTTTGACAAATCATATAGACTTTTATTCCACCGAAAACAACATTCACGCATAAGCTATTACATTTTTAGAGGAGAACAGAAATTAGGTCAAGAATATTAATCCAGTCTTCTGGTAGAAAAGATTTAGCTTTTGATCGTGCAACCCAATCAGCTCTGACGTTCATTGCCCTCGGAATCTCTTCCACCGAAATTGCTAGGTTAGTCCTGAGGATATTAACCATTGTTCTAATCCAGGCTGCGCATCTCCAGGGCCATCGTGAGTGATTAAGATTCAAGGCCTTCACCAGAACCTGACAGTCAGATTGAACTGTACACACTGATCCATATTCTTGTGCTAATTTAATTCCTTCCAAAAACACCTTAGCTTCCGCTTCAATCGGTGTGGAACAAAGAAGATTTTCAGCTCTCCCATCACACACTTGTCCATGGTGGTTAACAACAACAACACCATATGCCGCCGACTGGGGGTCGCTAAAGAACGACCCATCACATTGAAACACTCTCGAGTGATTACTTGGCTGTGGATTCGTAGTGGGGTGGGATCCCCTGAGCTGATTGGGACCATCAGAACCTTGAGGTGGGGGCCTCGGGCAAGCAACCCATTCCGTGAGCTCTCTATAGGTTTGCAGACTAACGTTAGGGGGCCAGGGAACGTGATTCTTGAACGTAGATAATGTGAATCAGGGAGTTTTGAGGGATGGTATCTTTGAGGGAGCAGAACCAATCAAAGAACGAGGTGCCCTGAGGAGGGAACGGAATTGAGGGGAAGGTGCTATTCCAAGCCTCATTGGCATGAGGGCAGTAGAAAAGGCAGTGGTTGAGGGATTCGTTAGGGTTTTGACATACATGGCAATTTGGATTAGGAGCACATCTCCTTTGGAAGAGTCTTGCTCTCGTTGCCAACCCGTTCCTGGAACACCTCCAGATGAAGAGTTTAAGCTTTGGTGGGATATTCAGTCCCCAGATCCATTTCCACTTCTCTTCACTGCCCGTTGCCTGGAAACTATTATTGGCATTATGAACAGCGTGGTAGGCTGTCTTGACCGAGAACTCTCCCTCTCGGGTGAGACTCCACGCCCAAAAATCCTCGGATCCCTCCTCCCCAATAGGGACTTTAAGAATCGCCTCCATTTCCTCTCTCGTCACATGGCCTTGAAGCGTATCGATATTCCAGTTTCTACTACCAGGGTCAATCCACTCTTTAACCTTCAGGTTTTGCTGGGGCCCGCTTCCAATGATAAAGTTCTGAAGATTTGGAATCCACGGGTCTTGACCACTCCAAGTGTCCTCCCCAGAACCAATAACTCTGATAGCTCCCATTTTAATAACCCTCTTTGCCTCCCACAGACTTGCCCATATCCACGACGATCTGCTTCCTTTTTTCGATTGCATGAATCCCCCTCTCGGGAAATACAGACCCTTCAGTAGTCGACACCACATGGCATCCGGTGAGTTTAGGATTCTCCATGCTTGTTTGGCAAACAAGGCCATGTTAAAATCTTTGAAGCTTCTGAATCCCAATCCCCCCTCAGCTTTTGGGGCACATAGGATCTCCTTTCTGCACCAGTGCATAGTGCTTTTCTAAATTGACCCTGACCAGAAGAAATTGGTGAGCAGTGAATCCATCTTCTTTGTCAGGTTCACCGGGAGGTTAAAAAGGTACATGATGTAGGAAGGGATAGCTTGAATGACAACTTTGAGTAACACTTCTTTCCCTCCATGCGAGAGGAGGAGACTTTTCCATGCTTCACCCATCTTTTCCATTCTCTGGATCAGGAATTGGAAAGTTTCCTTCTTCGGATTTCCCCATTCCGTCGGTACTCCTAAATACTTGGAGTGGCAGTTCGATGAGGCAAACCCGATGTGACCAATGATTGCATCTCTGTCCCCCTCGGGTACATTCGCACTGAAGAAAACAGATGATTTGTTGATATTCACTTCTTGACCCGTGATAGTACCATACTCTCTGATAAGGTCCAAAATTTTCTCTGCTTCTTGAAGGTCAGCCTTACCAAAGATCACCGTATCATCTGCAAACAAACAGTGAGTGAGAATCGGGCATCTCGCGTTCAACCTTATACCCTTTAACTGGTTTTGTGAAACCGCTTTGTCGATCAGGAAGGTCAGATCATTAGACATAAGAATGAAAAGAAAAGGAGAGAGAGGGTCTCCTTGTCTGATTCCTCTTGACGGTTTGAACTCCTCTGTTGCTTCCCCATTGAAAAGGATGGAGAAGTTGACCGTCCTGATGCACGAGCTGACCCATCTACACCATCTATCATCAAAACCATACTTCTTCAGCAGACTTTCTAGACAATCCCAATCCACCATATCATACGCCTTTTTCATGTCCAACTTGAGCATCATGTCCCTTCTCCTTCCCCTCTTGTGGTTTTTGAAGTGGTGTAGTGCCTCGTGTACAATAATGACATTGTCTTGGATAAGCCAGCCTCCGGTGAAAGCAGTTTGGAGCTCCGAGATAAGATTAGGCGTCCATATCTTCAAGCGGTTTGCCATGATCTTCGATATAATTTTATATCTAAAGTTGCAGCAACTGATAGGTCGGAACTGGCTAATCACCTCTGGGTGGTCCACTTTAGGAATCATGACGATATGTGTATCATTCCATCCATTCGGCATAGCTGCCGTCTCAAAAAACTCCTTTACCTCTCTACACACTGAATCTCCCACAATATCCCATAATCTTCGGTAAAATCTACCCGAGAAACCATCCGGGCCTGGAGCCTTTTTTGCTCCCAAAGAGAAAACCGCTTTCCTAATTTCATCTCCTGTCACTGGGGCACATAGAGCTGTATTCATCTCATCCGTAACCTTTTCTGGGAACCCATCCAGCAGGTGAGAGAAAGGAATAGGGTCTCTAGCTTTAAAGAGATCTTTGTGGAAATCCTGTGCCAAACCTTTAAGCCTATCTTCATCCTCCACCCACTCCCCTCCCTCATCCTTGAGCCTAAGGATTCTATTCTTATGCTTCCTATGGATCGTGCTAGAATGGAAAAAGGAATTGTTTCGGTCTCCTTTCTGTAGCCAGCTAACTCTTGAGCACTGATT